AAAATGTCTAGTAATGGAAATGGACATTGGATGGCTTAGTGATGCAAAAAACTTACAGTTAGCACCAACCTTTCCACCAGCACAACTACAGATCTGTGTTGCCAAAATACATTATTCAAGTTCATTGAATATGACATGGGTAGAGATTACCAGTGACAGACACGAACCAGCACTCACCTAAAAACAACCATTGCTGTTTTACATGGCGGACAGGCCAGCAGGAAGATCTGGAAAACATGAACAGAAGGGAAAAATCATGAAACTCATAGTATTAGTATTTAACAGCTTCATGAGCTCAGCTTTTATTAATATAGTAAGAGCAAGAGCCTTAAACATAGCATCCCACTAAAGTTCCCCTTGCTTCCAAAAAACAAAACAAAAACACACAAAAAAAAAAGAAGAAGAAAAAACAATGTATTTCTGTTAGAGAACAGCATAAACACTTAGATGTGTATAATGTGCTTTTGAAGCATATGGCAATGATAAAAACACAAACCATGGCTTTATAAGTTCAGGTTAAATTACAAACAAAATCATAAATGATTTACCAAAAACCTATATATTTCACAAAACTCCAAATATAGGCTGCTGTTATTTAGTTACAAACCTAATGTATGCTTTGGAAATAAATGAAATGAAATAAGGAACCAATGTAAAATTGGATTCTAATACCTTCATTCCTGTTGTCAAAATATTTCTCTGAAATGCAAGTCATGATGGAGAAATATGGAAACTTTCTGACTCAAGGGCCACAATGGGTTCTAAAATTTGACAGAGGGGCTGGACCGGGAGCAGAAGGATGGAGTGTTTGTGTGAACTAATATAAATGACATATAAAAATCATTACATAAAAGGGTTTTACCCTTTTAGGTAGCAAAACATGAATATTATTGTACAAATTATTCTCCAAATGCATTTTTTTCATAAGACAGTAGAGAAATAAACCAATTTCAGTGGGAACAGTGTTGTTGGTCTTTCTTTTTAGCCAGTGCATCAAAGTCTGTAGTTAGTTTTGTTGTGGTTATTCTCAGGATAGATCTGAGGTGTTGGTCAGTTAACATGGATCTGTGATTGGCTTTGTTGATGTTCATGATGCTGAACATCTGCTCACACACACAGGTTGAGCCAAACAACGCCAGCATCTTCTGTGCCGTCCTCCGGAGGTTTGGAAACGTGGCTTCGTTAAGTGAAGCACAAACATCATTCAGTTTAAGAGAGTTGAACTTCTCCTTTAAAACGGAGTCAGACTGAAGATCGATTAGTTCCAGTTGCAGCTCCTGTGGTGCTGTTTCAGGGTCTTCCTCTCCTCGTGTATTTCCTTTCAGGGACTCCGTGGCCAAAAACTCATCCGCTATATCAAAACTGTCGTTAATCCCTCAGATAAAAATTAGGAGCTGAGCAGTGTCTTTTATGTCGTTACTTTCTAATTCCCGTTGTTACAAAGTAGTTACTAATTCCCTAAAAAGCCTCCAGTTAATTCAAAATGCTGCAGCCAGAGTACTGACAGGAACTAGCAAGAGAGATCATATCTCTCCCATATTAGCTTCTCTCCACCGGCTCCCTGTAAAATTCAGAATAGAATTTAAAATCCTTCTCCTAACATACAAAGCCCTTAATGACAAGGCTCCATCGTATCTTAAAGACCTCGTAG